AGAGAGAGAGACACACACACACACACACACACACAGAGAGAGAGAGAGAGAGAGAGAGAGAGAGAGAGAGAGAGAGAGAGAGAGAGAGAGAGAGAGAGAGAGAGAGAGAGAGAAGACCACCATATTCCAGGCAGAAGATCTTATAGCACAGGCATTTCAAGTGCCAACTGTGATCATGTTTGATACATATTGACACTAAGCCAAGTACATGACCGGACAGGAAAAATAAAAATAAAAAAATAAAAAAAATGAAAGCGAATAACACCCAGCCAACATAATCATAGAATCACAGACATAATTACAGCTGTGCCTATATGACACACACATTACAAGCATGCAAAACAAGAAGTAGACAGTAAGCAAAAGGAACAGAATGGAAAACGCCAAAATCGCAAACAACGGCAACCAGCAGTCCTCATCACACCGGCTTAGTTGTCTGGGGTTATTATGCATGGTACAAACACCAGATTGTGTGCCTGCCAGGCATTAGTGTTTAAGAAGCTGTGATCCCTTCTGTTGTGGCTGATCACAAGTCCATTTTCTGCATTGATTTGAAACTGTGGATGCTTCAGATTTCTCTGCCAGCTGCCTGTCACTGTAAAATGGCTTTCTTTCTTTTTTTTTTCCCCAGAAAATTTTTGCCTCTTCTCTTCTGGAGGGGGACAGTACAGTTACTTATCACCTGCACGGCTGGAGAGCAAAAGTCCAACACAACTTCTCTTCGAACTTTGAAAAGATGAGGGGCGAGGGATGAGGAATGAGTTCACATGATATGAGATACCGAAAAGAGTGAAAGAGTGAAGCCCGGGCTTGGCTTTGCTTACTGACTCGTCTTCAAATGATGCAGGGGATGACTTTGGCTTTGGAGTTGACAGATTGAAAGGCTGAACGGTTGTGGGCTTGGATTGTCCGCGATGGGAAAATGCTACTGCCTCCTCTTCCTCTGCTTTCTTTTTCAGAATCGCCCGCTTATCCAGACTGATGAACATTTGAATTATAAATAACAACAACCAGGAGAGAGCGTGATGCCAAGGGAAAGCACGAAATGTGTCTTCTGTAAGTATTCAACAGCTCAAGAGTCAAATTTCAGCAGATCAGTGTCATCAGACAGACTTCATCTTCTGGTCTCATTCTCAGTCTCATTCAAAGCAGAAGTGTAGATCGAACCCAGACGTCAACAGAATGACAAAAAACACGTCGATGAAATGAATGTTGCTTCACTCTCCGCTGAGCACTAGTTATCAATCATGTCGCCCGACATTGAACATGCTCACTCCTCCCGTTATGTCATTTCCAGGAGTGTTTACATGCGCCCATAGCAGTTTCATTCAAAGCAGAAGCGTAGACCAAATCAACACGTCAACAGATTGCCAAAAAACTTCAAAAAAGACAAAAAAGAAAGATACTTTTTTTCTTTTTTCTTTTTTTTTTAACAAATAGCATGCTTCATTATATATTGTCACATCACTACAAACTAAAAGAGCGCACTTTGCGGAACAAAGAATAAAAGCAAAAAACGGGCACAGTGATAACATGCAAAAATAAAAATAAAAAGAAAAACAAAAAGAAAAAACAAGGGCAGATTGAAACCATTAAATTTCTCATTCTTCTTTGAACTCCACCTCCACTGTGCCTCT